TGGTGGCACGCACTTTTGTGTGAAACTAAAGCCTTTTAGCTTTCAAATCCTGCATTTGAGTAGTAGTCTGGGAGAGGAGATAGCTTCTTAATCTGCAGATGACATTTCTTTTGATGAGGTGACTCAGAGTTAGGACCCATCATGCTCTTCAAGCAAATTCCTTTAGATAGATCATTACAGTTGCCTTTCAAACAGCATCTAGCCCAGGCCGCTGATCTCATCAAAGCATCTGCTTACATTCTAGAACTCTGTAGAGAAAGTAAGATATCACCTTCCTGGAAACTTTTCCTTTTAACTCTGTATTCTTATACCTTTATGGCTTCTTAAAATTACTAAGGTTTTCCTTTCTTCATAACTTTCACACTTTTCAGGCTGTCCCTGAGTTTATTCATGTGATGGTAGCTGATGTTTAGAAGAATGTTTTTCTTTATGCAGAGACTGTTCAGGTAATAGGTTGATGCTGCCAAGACAAGGACGTTTTCGCTACCAGATGACACTCTTAAAACTCATATTAATTCAGTGACTCTGAGAAGTGTTCCTGACATATGTATGTCAAGTGGCCTTTTAATGTGGATAACGATAGTTCTATGCCTCCTTTTGGTAGATGGAAATGGGCTTAAGCTGCGCCAGGGGAGGTTTAGACTGGAAATTAGGAAAAATTTCTTTACGGAAAGGGTGGTCAGGCATTGGAACAGGCTGCCCAGAGAGGTGGTGGAGTCACCATCCCTGGAGGCGTTTAAAAAACGGGTAGATGTGGCACTTCGGGATATGGTTTAGTCTGGTCTACCCTTGATTAGTCTAGAGTGGGCTTGGTAGTGTAGGTTAATGGTTGGACTGGATGATCTTAAAGGTCTTTTCCAACCTAGATGATTCTATGATTCTATGATCTGCCTGTGTAACTCTCAGCCAGATGGTAGTATATTTGTGAGGCTATTGCTTGGAGTCACCTGAGGTAAGCTTGCTTAGAGACTGCTGCGCTTCAAGATCAGAACGTAAGAATTCTTCAAGCTAGGTTGCCCACTTGTCTGTTTCCCATGTCTCTGTCCGCTCTCGTCCTTTTTGAAGTGTTGCTATTCTAGGAACCTGTGGTAGAGAGGGAATAGCTGCATTGTGCCATGTTACTTCTGTGTTCTGAGCATGAGTGTAAAGCATAAGTATTCTTTTTGTGGGTGCTAATGGTGAAAAATGTGTGCAGTGTTAACATCAGGATGTTTGTGTGGACTGTGCATCTCAAAACTGGGTTACTTGTAAGCAGTTCCACTGTGTAGGTGTATGCATATGAACTCTGTAAGAGGTATAAAAATGAAAAACACAATAATGCAACAGGTGACTGAATTTATCAGATTTGTAAGTTAAAAGTAATGAAACAATTTCTGAATACTAAATAGCAATTTGCTTTCTGATCTATAACTGAACATTGGCTCTGGTCGCTAAGTATAGCTCTGTTTTAAATCTTGGCTCATGACTTGCAGGTGCCAGTGTAATTGATCTTTGTGCTATTTCAGCTTTTCTAAGAGCAAAGCATTAGTGAAAATATCCAGTAGCTAAGAGTCTTATGAGACTCCTAGTATTTCTGTGCCAGCTTTCTGCACTGCAGTGTAGTTTGAATAGAAAGCAGCTTCAGAAGGGTCACTGCTCTTTGTATACAGATACACAAGGGACTAGGACAGAAGCTGGCCTTGTGCTCTTCTGCCTGTTTCCTGCCGCTTCTCCACAGAAGGTAACTTGTATTTGCTAGTTCTCTGGGGTATTTTGCTTTTCACAACTGTTATGTTAAGAACAGAGAGAGATGTCCAGCTGACTGCGTGCATTCTGCCTGCTTTTTTTTTTTTTTTTTTTTTGAGTTGTAGCTGTGCTGCAAGCATCTCAGCTAAAATTTCTCATCTTTATCAGCTGTCATTGTAGCTTGCACCAAACTGGCATTTATGACTGATCTGAAGCAAAAGTCAGGAAATTTGTAAGAGAAAAAGAACCCGTTTCCCATTACTTGTCCTTAAAATTGCTGGAACTATCAGCTACCAAATGTCCTCTGAAGGTTCCTTTGTTTTGTTGATGTTCTTTTAAAACATACTCTCTCGTATGATCTAGCTCTTGGTACTGTGTTTTATGGAACATTATCCAATGACATTAAGAATTTGATCGGCCCCTGTAGGTTATTTATCTCTTGAGGTTATTAACGTATGTTAATGAAGAATTATTAATTAAAATTCCATTTGTGGCTCATCTTAATCTTGTGTAATCTAAGTGTGTTGAAAGTTAGACTCAGTTAAGTTTTAGGCCTTATCACACTTACTTCATACCAACCCCACATATCCCAGAAAGTGATTTGTAGCTAACTGCAGTCAGAGGTCATAGCAGTTGATGACTCAGATGCTTTATTTGCTCCTAAGTTGCTATAATTTCAGTACTCTTTTGTAGTGGTTTTCCTGGAGTTAGGGGGGTGTGTGTGTAGTGCAAATGAATGGCGCATTTCAGTGAAGATTAGGAGGATCTGATTGTGTGAATTGTTTGTGTTTCTTTGGATTACTTTCTAAGGAGTATCTCTATCTCATGAAAAAAAAGCAGTTTATAAAGTATTAGAGCAATTTATGGCCTGGTAGGCCTAGAAAAGTAGATGGTGAATGGTTGTAATGACAAGGGCTAGTAAATCGCTAAGTAGTGTGGTTCAAACTATGTTAATCAAATATTGGTGGTTCTAGTCCAGACTCATCCTACATTTTTTAGTTCTGCTTCATTCTTTTGCCAAAGATTAAGTAATTTGGATTCATTGCTTAGTAGTTCATTGCATTGGTTGTGACTGTCTTTTGTTCTTTCAGAGGAATATATGTCACTGCTTGCTTTTATTTCATTTATTTAAATGCATTTATTTCTGTAAGAAATCTGTATAATGCAACTGTAACATGCTGTAATATTAAAAATGATTTTTTTGATTTAGCAAAAATAGTTTTAATGCACTTCTTTTTTAAACTATCTCTCAACCCTAATTATGTAATCCTTTTTGCTTTATGCTATTTCGTAAAATTGGAAGCTGCTGCTGGACCCAGGAAGAAACTAGCACAGTATGAATACTTATAAGTAAATGTGTGCTAAAGTATTTAATGCACTTAAGATTGCGTGAATGAAGACTGTGTGGAACTTTAAGTTTACTTAGCCTTTACGCATTTATTATGATAGCTTATGTGGTGTCAGTCTGTGGCAGAGACAGTTGGATCCTTGCTTTAAATACAAGAGAGAACTTTCTCCCTTCTGGCAGTACCTGCCTAGCTGAATACTGCCAGAAATTATGTGCTTGATTAGGCACTGTTACGTGTCGTGTAGCGGAGCCTTTTCTGCTCAGTTCCTTAGGTAATGTTTAAAAACAAAACCAAGCTGCCCTTTGATCTTCTGGAAGTGTATTGGTTGTCCAGCCAGTCCACTTGCATGTCTTAAACTTGAAACATTTACATCAGAAACAACCCTAGGTCCCTCTATACTGTTAATTACAGAATTCCTATGAAATAAGCAAGGATGGAGGAAGTTGACAAAGTGCCTTCTAGATAAATGGTGACACACTGAAGTGTTGATTTCTTCTAAAAAAGCTTATATTTCTCACTGCTTTTCCTAGAATTAGTAGGATGTAACCAGTTATTCCTCCAGTTTGGCACTTGTTTGATGCCCATGTTTAAGTACGAGGATTGTGTGTGTCTGAAAAATCAACCTTTTATCTGCATTTTTGTGCTGTAGCCTTTCTGTATGAGCTCTCAGCAATTAATATATTCCTGATTAAATGTAGATTGCCTTATATAGAGTATCTTGTCAGTATTCTTTGATGCTTTGGCTTTCTTAAGATCAAAGGACATGCCTAGTTTAGGCAGTGTAGCTGTGAGGTTGGAGAAACACTGTGGTTTTAATTGCATTCACCTGTACTTTTTTCAATTTGGATTTTCTATGTCCAGAGTATTGGTTATGCAAAACTGATGTTTTTAGCTTCCAATACTGAAGTCATCTCCCTAGCCAGTGGTTCTTGAGAGAAACCAGATTCTGCAAATGATGTTGTTTCCGTTGCTTCCTAATCTAACTCAAACAGCGAACCTGTAGCTAACATTTTGCCATGTTTATCGGTGCTGATCTTTTATATCCAGGTATTTTTGAAGGCCTGTGGTTTTTTCTCAAGTACAGCTTGTTCGTGTACTTCAGGGTTTAAGAACCATTTTGCCCCCATTTGTATAGCCAGTATCTTTGTATACAAAGGAAGGAGTGGAGAGCTTATAGTAATTTTAGCTGTTTGTCACTGGTGTTAGTAGCAGCACTGTTTATTTTCATTTTCAGTCTTAAACCAAAGAAAGAGTTGTATGTTAGCAGAGCAGGAAGACATGATCAAATAATTGGGTGCTTGGCTGTTTGAATACTATTAGAAGACCAGCCTGCAGAAATCTGAAATTAGGGAACTGGATTTGCAAAGGATGCTCATTTGTCTTTGAGAGCCATATTTAAATCAGATACTCATGAGGGGAGGAGACCCTAACTGCACAGGTACATGAAAGAAGAAATCATAGCTTTATTTACCTTAAAAGATATGGTTTGACTTAATGGTTACTGGCCATTTGTATAAGATACTACATAGGGATAACTGAAAATCCTGGTTTTGACAGAAATGAAAATAGTATGCTGAGCAGGTGACTGACAGGAGCTGCAGAAAGATCTCTTCACTTTGTTTTTTTTTTCTTCTGTGATAGTTCTTTGCATTCTTTTCTGAGTGTAGCTTCAACTTTTGGATTTTTTTTTTAATTGAGCCTGAGCAAATTTTTTTTAATGCTATTTGGATTTGAGAATGATAGGGAAGGCTGTTTCTCACTATGTAAAACTTGTAAAAATAGGGCAAGCTTTTTGTATGCCAAATTTCAAAGTGTAGTAATTCTTAATTCCCAGGCTGTGGTTTTGCTGAGCTTAATTAAATTGAAAATAGCCTTTCTCTTAAATGTTTCATGTTCTGTACTTTCTTTGGTGTGCTTTCTTCTCAGGTTTTTAGCAGAATACCATGATGATTTCTTCCCAGAATCTGCTTATGTAGCTGCATGTGAAGCCTACAACAGTACTAAAAATCCTCGGGCAATCTACTGAAGCTGTTAATAAAGATTAAATCCTACTATATGTAGCCTATGACAATGCTATTTTGCCACGTGGCTACAAGATGAAGATGAAAAAGGAAATAAAACAACTTCTGGAGTTGAAGAAATAGGGCAATGTCTTCTGTGATGGTTGGATTACTTGAGTGGAGAACTTCTTTTCAGAGATGTGTATAGACTGCGTTCTAAGTTGCTTAGAGGACTGAATATAACTCTGACTCCAGATGAATGAAGAAGACTTCCTCTGAATTCTAATGCATAGGACTGCTAAAAAGGAGAGGAGGCAAAAGCAGATGCATTAGCAACAGGATATTTTCATGAAGATAGATCATCATGCTGTGTTTCATTTTAGCTCAACCTCTCCAGACGGAGTAATAAGACTTGACTACACAGTTACATGAAGAGAATGCATAACTGCTATCTTAAGGATTTTTTTCCTCACAAATTGCACTTCATTTTGTGGAACTGTTGTGATAGAAAAGATTGCTTAATGTAAAGGTGTTTCTGCTGTTTGGCTAGCATGACATCTGCCTCAAGAATGACTTTGTTGCTTGAATGAAAGATGTGTTGCTTTGCATTTTGCGAAGGTGTATATAGCCCTTTTCATGCTAAGACTGCCAGAGTTCCAAGGAGAGCATACGTTGCCAGTGATTCAACATTTTCTTGGCAATAAATGATTTCCAGAGCCATTATGAAAGAACTGATTCTCTACAAGTAAGCAAAGTCAATAAAGTGGTGGCAGTTTAACTGGCAAACACTTCTGTTCTTAATAAAGTTCACAGTGGCTGCTGTGTAAATGTGTGATTTTGACTAAAACGTCTTGTTTGTGCTCGACTAGTATTTTTGAGATTGCTAAGTGTGCATATAACAAGAGGTGGGAGCATTGACAACATGGGGAGAGAAGCCCTTTCTGTATCATTGGGTTTTCTTCTACAGACTCGAAGGATGTCTCTTTAGACAGTTTTAAACTCTTTAGCTCTGGAAATAGGAATTCAGTGAGAACTGAGTTCCTAGAAATCTGACAATGCATTCAGTAGAAATTCATTGAAATACAATTCTTGTCTTGATGGCCACTAAAACCTCATCCATGACTCAGAACTCTGGCCTTCAGAATCCTCTGCTATGTCAAGACAGAAACAGATTGTGAAAGCACTGGGAGAAAATAGGACTCAAGGCTCATAGACTACTGCATTAATTGCTCTGTAATCCTTCCTAGTTCAGAAAACTTCCATTAGAACACTTAACTGTAATGCAAAACTCAACACGTTCCTCCCAGATTTGCAGAAACTAGTAGTTAGGAGGAATCATCTTTCAAATGTAAATGGCAAGCTTAGTCTCAGAGGCCAAAGGAAATCTGAAATCTACTGTTGACATTCATTGTCACTCACTTTTCAGGGTTTACTGGTGTGTTAAAGCTTTTGAACTGAAAAGATAAGGATTACCCTGGTTTTAGCAACTTAGGTTCTGCTTTTTAGAAAAGCTAGTATAAAGAGTCTGTTAAACTTCATGGTTGTTAAATGAATGTTTGGCATGGATGCATGCAGATTTGGTCATCACTATTTCTAAAGATTGCCATTTAGCGGTACTACTCTTTTAATGCATTTCTGTTGTACCAAAAAACATTTGTAAGCTTTAGTCTTTCTAAGATTACACAAGTTTTGAATCTGTAGCAGAATCCAAGTGCCTCAAAATCCACTTTGCAAACATGTTTCACTTTAGGCTTAGGCCCTGTTTTTCTAAAAAGACAATTCAACAAAATACTAATGGCTATCTGACAAGAGATTAATCTTGGAATACTGCCTGAAACTCCATCCTTAATGCTTTCTATTGCAGGAATGTTAGAGTGTGTATAATATGGTAAATCTGGTTTTGTTCCACTGTTGGTACCTGTGAGTATAGGGCAAGTTATGAACAGAGTTTAAACCTTACTATGTGGCTGTGTGTAACTGTTAAAATGACAATTTCTGTATGCAGGGGTTATTAATACTGTCGGTAATGCCTTGTCGATACATTGTGATGATTCTCAAAAGATGTGAGGGGGGGGGAAATTCTGAAGGTCAGTTAGCATAGTCTTTACATGAACAAACTTTTTTGTAAAATTTTCTTGAAGCTGCTATTGGATATAATATTACAAGCTATCTTCTTGTCATAACAACCAAAAAACTTTTCTCAAAAGTAGCACTCTTTTGCGCTTCTTGACACTTTTAATTGGCGTGACTTCCTTGGACACTATCCCTTCGAACTTAAAAAGTTTAGGTTTATATATTCAACTACAGTAATGCGCATCTTTGACATCCCCCTTCCCTACTGTCACTCTTCTTCTTTCCTATTTTTATACCTCTTTTTTTTTTTTTTTAAGCTGAAGCAGCGCAAGAGACTTGCAAAAACTTGAACCACGTTGTGTAAGAGGGTAGTTCTTACTAGTCTTAAAATATAGAGACTTACCAGTGTGGCCCCCAGAATTCACTTTGAATGGAATATTCAAGGGCTCGTGTGGCTAGGGGAGGCTTAGTAGCATAGCTATACTGCTGGAGTGAATCTGTAACTCTTTGAATGTCCTTAACCGATTAGATTTTCGGATGGGATTCGTATCTATCTGAACTGATGAAAGAGGTTTCTGCACTTAGCTGTTTGTCATTCGTTGGTCACTGTTTGTAGAGCTACTCTTATCAGTGTTTTCTAACCTGATTCAGTCAAGATGGCTTAGGTTAGCTGAAGAAATGTGGAAAAACTGATGGGAGCAGGCAAGGGAGCATTCACATGAGCCAGCCTGCCAGCGGGCTGCAGAGACGGGCTGCTGCCGGGGAGGAGCTGAGCGGAGAAAGCGGGGTAACGGGCAGGGGTGGTTTACACTGGCATAGCTGTTTGCGTAACTCACGCATGCTCTGGTTCTGAATTAAGGGGGGTTTGGTTGCGTATTTAAGGAAGTTACACCAGTGTAACTATAGTGCATACTTAAACTGGTAAATCTCTCAGCCGAAGGCAAGTCCTTGCCCTTGCCTTTGGGAGTAGGCCGCTCCAGCGTTAGGAGTGGTGTAGGGTTTTGCATATAACCGTTCTTGGGAGAAAGCAGAGAACAATCGCGGCCGAGGATTAGGACCAGGTAGCGCAGCTGATGTGGCGTGTCAAGTGCACTGCCGTGTAAGTACCCGAGATGCTCAGTCTGCGCAAATGCTACTAATTCCAGTAGCTGCTCTGACTTTGTCAGCACGAAGGTACCCGAGTAACTTGACACAGTGCCACAGAAATATGAAACCAACTGTGCATGCATAGATTGTAAAGATTACCAAAGGAGAATATATTAACAGAATACAACTTCAGTGTTCTTCAGTTTTATTCCTAATTTTAGGCTTTACTTTGTACCTCTCATGCTTCAAAAAGTATCGTACTGTTCTTTCATGTGCACTGTCTAGAGCTGCTGCGTTGCCTTTCACTTTGCTACTGCGTGGCTATGTTTTTCAAGCTCCTGTTTCAAAGCTCTGGCTTTCACGTAGTGTCCTCTTCCACCAAGATGATCGAGGCAGATGTGACCAAGTGCTAATTTAAAGTATGTTCCATGTCCTGATCTGAAAGCAAGCTTATGCAGATGTTAGGGTATCACTTAGTATTTGGTGTGGGCTAACAGCATGTGTTTGGTCAGATATTGCGTCGGAAATGTTTAGTGGGAACTCATCAAATGGTGCAGGATGACCTTGCTCTGGGTTATGCTGAGAGGAATGTCTGCAGTCAAAGAGGAAATAAAAAGCTGATTGGAAATAAAAAGCTGTTAACTGCTTTTCATGTTTGCATCATAAAAAGTCTTATCAAGACATTTGGGAAATACACTGGGGAGATTGTTATTGGAGTTAAGATGTATGTGTATGTATTAAATCCTTCATTTCTTGAAAATTGCATGTTTTCCCCTCTGGAGTCTTAAGCATGACTCCCAAAAGGATGTATACTGGGGTGGAAATAAGTTTTTCAGGGCAGGGGGGAAGGAAGCAACATGTATTATCTTTACCTGAGTCTCAAGTCAAGCCTTTATTGTGGTAGTTAGCCGTACAAAAGCACAGTGCTGACAGCTCTTGGACAGACAGCCACATCTTAACTTCCATCCTGCTGCGTATTTGTTCGCTGTTAACTTCCTGACCTATTAACAGAGCTGGAAAGCAAGTTTGCACTTTAGAGCGCACAAACTCTACTGTCTAAATTCAAGGAGAAAATGCCAAATAGCCGTGACGCAAGCATACTTAGGCCAAAAGCATCAAGAAATATATTTTTGTCCTGTGTACTGTAGGATATCCTTTGTGATATGAGGTGATTGCATTTAATTGCATTAACAAGTCAAGTTACCTATTTATTTTTCTATGTAAATACATCTCAGTGTAATGAGGTTCCCTGGAACAACGGTTCTAGATGGTATGTTACTTTTGTAATGTGTTTGACTGTAATCAGTACAAACTTGATGTGTTTACATAGTCAATTTTATTTTTACACTTATAAAACAATGAATTTGGAGGGATTTTCAGCTTTTTGTATAGCTGCATCATTTTTCTGTATGAAATTAATGAATACAGGTACTATACTTCCGCAATCAGAGGTACTAATGCAGTGTTTCTGCCTCAATTTTTGGTGCTTTTTACTTCAACAACAACGCCCCCAACTCCCAAAACAAAGTTTGGAATATATGTTGCCTTGGGAAAATGCTATCAGCAATGACTGAGTGGCAGATGTAGATGCTTACTAAGATCTAACTCAATGCATCCTCCCTATTGCATGCATTATGTATTTTCCTCTTCTAATTCATATAGCAGATGACTTTTTTGCATTAAGGCTAAGCACTATAGCAAGCTGAATAAAATCAGTGAAGTATAAGCACGTGCTCGAAGATGAAAAGGAGAAATCTGGTTTAAAAAAAAAGGGGGGTGGGGGGGGTGGGCAAAAAAAGCACATGTTCCTCCTGTATGGAGGAACAGTTGGGAGTGGTCACTCACATCATGTGAAGTGGATGACATCTTCATAAAGAGAATGAACAGACCTGTGAGATGCAAACTGATAAATCCTGGCACTAATACAGACCTTTTTAAAAGTGGCTGCTAAGGAATGGAGAAATTTCTCTGCCATTTTGTTGCTAGAAATGGTGGAAGGTTTATGATGGAGAATTACTTTTTCTCTTACCAATACAAGATATTGGATCTACTTCTGGGGAAAGCAACCCAGGTATTAAAGCATTGAATCATACAATATGTTCATGGGGATATTTCAGTGTGATGCCAGAAAACAAAGTGTGTTTATATAGTGAGAAATGTAGAGATAAATGTGTTTAGTTCCTGGCAAAA